CCTGCCGTACCCTCGCTGCACAGGTGGGGACGGCTGCTGCCGCAGCTCCCTGTGCACCCCTGGCTGGCTGAGCCTCTGTCCCATGTTTGACTTACACTGGAGCAGGCAAACGTGCCAACCCACAGAACTGGCCTTTGGGGAGGGGGAACTGCACGTCCAGTGACAGCCATGGGTCTAGGCCTGCTTCCAGCACGTGCGGGATGCTGCGTTCCCTTGGGTGGCTTTGTGTGTGCATCCTTCTTGCATGTTACCTTCTTCATGCCCTTTTTAAATTTTCTGTTGTCCTCTTTTTAGTGCTGCGATGTCCTGCACCTCCAAGTATTGACAAAGGACATCACAACAGTCATGACCTGGAAGTTTTCACTACTGGGATGGTTGTAAATTATAGCTGTGACCCTGGCTACAATCTCCTGGGAAAGGCATCCATTTACTGCACTGACTCTGGAAACTGGAGCCTCCCTCTTCCTCGGTGTGCAGGTACACTGTTGTTCCGAGGCGGTGGCTAGAGTTATGGATAGTCTGGGAATTTCTGCCATGGAAAGAACGAGTCCTACAGGCTTTCAATCACTCCTCCCATACAGTTGAATCTTTCAGTGCTTCCCTTTCATTGTCGGTTTTGCTTGTAAACTTTTACCTACATACACGCAATATACATTTTAAAACAACTTTGTGTAGGTAATATCCCTATTTTTCCCTGTTTTCTTTCCTGATAGGTGGCTGTGGAGCACCACCAAACTTAACCTTTGCTGAGCTAACCGAGGAATACAAAAATCTGATGGAGTTTCCTGTTGGGGTCACAGTGCGATACAGCTGCCAGCCAGGACACATCAGGCACCCCGGAGTACCCCCAACTCTGACATGCCTCAAAAACCACACGTGGTCTGAAGCGCTAGCGTTCTGTAAAAGTGAATAGCTCAATCAGTTTGGTGTTGGTTTTTGAAAACTGTTCTTAGAGCAATTCTTTTTAAAAATTATTCATACATGGCTTCACTAGTCACATAGTTTGGGCAGCTATTGGCCTTCTAAAAATCAGGTCTTTATTGGTGTCTGAGTGTGGACAGATCCTTAAGATACCTCCTCATAGTGCATTACAAAACTGCAAGAGAGGAGTTTAAACTCAGCCTTGTTCTTTCCCAGGGAAACAGTGTAAACACCCAGAAGCACCAAAGAATGGCAGAGTTGTTGTTCTGACAGATCTCTTCTTTGGGTCAACCGTGAGCCACATGTGTGAAGAAGGGTGAGTCCCACACTGCCTTTACTGGTTCCATTTTCTGAGCTCGGTGTTGGGCAACTTATTGTGAAGGCTCAGAGCCCACTCCCCTGCATGGGCCGTCCTCCCACAGCAAGTCAGAATTCACATTTTGGTTCCAGTTATGCCATAGGAAAGGGAGAACTGGCTCTCATTTTTCCCTGCCTGTGCTCAAAATATTACTTTGCAAACTTCAGCTTTGCTCTACCTTCTCAGATGGCAACCCAGCAGGAGCTGAGAGGGCAAGTGAGCACGTGCTGCACGGAGGCTCCAGCAGTTTGGAAATCACTTGGGTCTGAGTCCTGATATAGCACCTGACCAACCTAATCCACAGTAATTTGGGATCATTGCTGTTCCTCTTCAATCTGGGAAGAAGGAACTTGGTGTCCTCCATTCCCATCAATCAACAGAGACACCTCAGTGACCAGTTGGAGTCAAGAGGCTGCAGAAGGAAACCTCTGGGGGTATTGTCAGAGTGGGAGGCAAAATCCAAGCTGAATGACTCCGTATCAATCGATACTTCTTTCTGTGTAACTCCAGGCACCGACTGGTTGGACAGGCCCACAGGCGGTGTGAGATGTTTGGAGCAGATGTGGCATGGAGTGGTGTTCTTCCCATTTGTCAGAGTAAGTAGGTCACGGCTAGACCTGGCCCAGAGTTGCCAAAAAAAATCCTTAAAATTAAGAAGTGGAATTTACTTAAAATAAATAGAACCTTGAGGAAAAAGAATTTTTTAAGCAGAATATTCCTGTAGGATTGTTTTGTTTTGCTTGCTGGTTTGGTTTCTTCTAAAAATCTTCCAGACGCTAGCTTTCAATCTTTCAGAGTGGTGTAGAATGAAGAGTTGAGATGCCTGCAGGGATTCGTCCCTTTTGTTTCACGAACGTAAATAATAAGTTCAAGAAGAAATGCGTCTTGCTGGAATATTGAGCAAATTGAACTGGGATCTTCCAAATGCCGTACTGTTATGCAAACCACAAGGCGGTTTTGCAGGGTTGTTCGTTGCAATTAGTCTTTCATTCAGATGGAATTGCTTTGGAAGGCATGAGCTTGGTACAGTAAAGCGCTCATGAGAATGACTAACAGCGCTTATGAACTTCTACACCATTTAATATATTTACTTGGAGTGTATTTGCATTATTCTGTTTATAGGCACAAAACCATGTTTATATATACAATAGTGTGGTAAACTAGGGTACCTAAAGGAACTAAAAAGCCCTCAATTCTTGAATTTCCTCTTCTGTGAGTCTCCAAGTACTACCTGTGAAGCTCCTCTGAGCAGTGGCATGTTAAGGATGCACTTTATAGGATGCATCAATTACAGCATATATACAGCTCCCTCTTTGAGATAATGAATTTACTTTTCAGAGGTGGTATGTCCAGTCCCACAGATCCAGAACGGGAGAATAATTGTTCCTAAATATCGCTACACATACAAAGATACTGTTAGCTTTAAGTGCCGTAAAGGTTTCACCTTGCGAGGCCATCGCACAGCCCGGTGCCAAGCTAATAAAACATGGGATCCCCCCGTCCCAGTCTGCGAGAAGGGTAAGTATCAGCGCTCTGACTTGCTAGCGTTGCAGATTCCTCCCCGACTGCTCCCACCCACACACTGAAGCCAAACTTGACTTGATTTTTCCTGTTTGCTCCAACTACTTTAAGGAGAAACCAGAAATTGGTCCTTTTATTTATGTCCCTCTTCTCAGAGAGGAGATAACCAGGTTTTGGGTAATGCTGTAACTATAACCATGATTTGCACTTTTCTCACCCTGCTTGGTGCAATCTATCATCTGTGTTCTCCTAATTTCCTGAAAGTGAGAAATTTGACAGCTTCATGGCAGGACACTGACTCTCAGAGAGGAGTGAAATTTTTTCTGGAAATATTAAGGCAGAATGATGGAAAAACAAGGTAAATTTGTGTATTGTATTTGATCAATCAAATGTTTATTTTAAACTCTTAATTCTGCATTCAGATGGCGTGGCAGAACACTATCATCATCCTGATACCACAGTGAAGTCAGGTAGGAAGAGGCAAGATTTACTAACCACTAACTCGTCCTCCCAACCTGCCCTGCTCTTTGCAGGGAAGAGGAGTAATTGCACCTTTTTACTCTTGTTATCACCTTTTTGACAATTTAACATCACCTTCTCCCTCTCTTCTTGCAGTAGTCAAGTGTCTGCCTCCTCCAAGCATTGCTAATGGGGAACACAGCAGTCATTTCTCAGACACATTTGATGTAGGAGCACTTGTGCACTACCGCTGCAAACACGGCTTCTCGCTCATTGGGAGTCAGTCTGTTCGCTGTACAGCATATGGAGTCTGGAGCCATCCCCTTCCTCGGTGCGAAGGTGAGGGTGTGCTCTTTTCACTGAATCATCTTGGCTTTTAAAATGCGTTAAACACATAGCGATATTTGGCTAAGGACTTGCTGAAACAAGCTGTTGTTCCACCACTAAAGAAGGAATGAGGTCTCCGTGGTCTCTGTTCCACCAAGTTTCACAATCTAAAGGGTTCTTTACAGCCTCGCTGTCCACACTTGGCTGTGCGAGCCCGAGTTGGGAATCGAAAAACTATGATGTTGGATTCTCCCTGTGGGCCTGGAGACATCATTACAATTGAATACAACACTGCCAACGTCCCAGAAGACCTCCAGAAGTCCTAATGCCAGCTTGGAGGCATGAGGGATCCTCCACTCCTCTTCTGTGAGAGGGGAAAGCATGTTATCTTGGATGGCTATCCTTTTTGATGTTACCACTCCTGGTAGCATGTTGCAACATGTTTAGGAGGTGAGAGGAATCCAGAGTCTAGTGTTCAGATCTGAAGATCTGTAAGATGGTCTTACAAGCGTGCAATTCCCATTATATATATGAACGAATCACTCGTATCTGATATCCCAGGAAAGATGGTGCTGGGCAATGTTCCTTTGCGTCAGAAGAGGTGTGTGTGATGCCATATGCTTTAGAGATGATTTGGGGTGCAGTGAGTGCAGAGGGTTGGGGCAGGGCTGGCTCTGTGTGTGGGATTTGGTGCCATGGGAGTGAGCATACAGCTGTCCACAGACGCTCAGGAGTTTCCCCTCTTGCCCATATGAGCTCTGTTTTGATCTGCACTTCTCTCTTATCAGTGCGGCACTGTCTCAAGCCTGCAGATATTGCTCACGGGTCTCTCAGTGGCCCAGCAAAAATGATTTTCAGCCCTGGAACATCTGTAAGCTACATGTGTAAGCCTGGCTTCTCCCTCATCGGGACAGCATCCATTTATTGCACACAGTCTGGAGCCTGGAGCCATCCTCCTCCGGTCTGTCAAGGTGTGTTGTTCTTGCAGAGGGCTAAGAAAGGACATTTAACATGACTTGCATTAAGGAAAGGTTTGTATAAGGACTAGATCTGAGTTCTTTACTACAGCATGAGTGATGAGAACAACATCGTTTATATCCATTTCCAAAGTGTGATGCAGTTACAGGGTTAAGAAATCAGTAGTTGAGCCTAGGTGAAGAAATTAAAAGGGAACGGTCAAGGCCGCAAAGGTATGGTGCCTTAGCTCCTCTCTGGCCATCCATCAGGATCCTCATGTCAACACTCTCATTTGTCTCTCCCTGACTTTCCAGTTGTGAAGTGTTTCTACCCTCCAAACATCACCAACGGGAAGCTCCAAGGCAACATCTCTGACACTTTTTCCTACGGAGTATCTGTATCCTACAGCTGCAATCCTGGGTATTCACTCGTTGGGAATGCTTTCATCACCTGCACAGCGTCAGGAGCCTGGAGCCAGCCTCTTCCTCGGTGCAAAGGTGTGTTTGTGCTTGGTTTGCTTATGCAGTTTGGAATTCACGGTGGCAAACATCTCCCAGAAACGGGCTGAGGAGACAGGCAGCCATGCTGACATACACACTTTACTTTGGGGAAAAAAGATCATTCTTTGGAGAGATACATGGGCCAAAATCTAAGCAATAAAATCTTCTGCATATAACACTGAACTCCATCCCCTAATTTTGCTTGGGAACCACTTCCATATCATAGCTAGTAGTGTTGATATGTCAATTATGAATTTATCTACTCTTTGTATGCCTGGGAAGAGTATGATATTGTTGTAAAGAAGCAGGATGGGAACCTTGTGCTTACAGTCAGAAGGTTATGAGTACAAGAGGGGCAATTCTGAAAGGCAGCTTTAATGCTCGCATGTTTCCCACCTCTGCTCTTGATGCTATGAATGAGTTGTTTACCAGCTTCCCTCCACTAAAAGATTTTAATTTTTTGTAGATGAATAGGAACTTTCTCCCTTCCCTTCTTTTTCATTCCCTTTTTGTGTCTCTCACTCTCCAGTTATCGCTAACAGGAGACAAAGGAAGAGATTGTAACAGAGAACTTGTCTCTGATGGTTTGTAGATACACGTGAGGCTGACTCTTCCCTTCTCGGCAAATGCCCCTCTATCTGTGACTTGGCACTTCCGTGTAGCTGGGAAGGTCAGTCACAGAAAACTTGACTAAAGGAAACTTAATGAATGTCACAAGATTCCTAGTGTGGGTGTTCCTGCATGGAAAACTGGTCATTCACCAGAATAAATTCATTACCCACACAGGGTGCTTCCCCAGTGGAGTTGCACCCACCTCAGTGACTCAAGAGTTGGAATGAGCTTGGATAACAATGAGAGGAAATAACGTACCAAATATTTATTTAAATAAGTCAGAGGATCTTTAAAGGAAGCAGTGTCACAGAAAAACTCTCCCTGCCATCCCACATTCCCGTGGTAGTGAAGCATCCTTAGTAACCAATACATGTGAAAGCAAAAATAAATATTAAAAAAAGATGAGAAACAAAGGTTAATAGCCACATGTTAGATTTTACCCCTTGGGCCTCCACTGAGAACCTTCCCTTCCAGAATTGTTGGGCTTGGACTCTCAGAGATGATTAGACACCTAAATCGAAGCCACTAACTCCATTTCATTGAATTCAGTGGTATAAATAGCTTAGATGGGACTAATTAATAAATACATTGTTGTTAAGTAATACGGCTGCTTACATCTTTGAAGGACAAGAGACTTCAACAGACCAGAACAGGGTTATAGGCAGTTGGCTCTAAAGATCCCACTGCATTCTTCCCTGCTACACCTTTCTTCTCCAAATGTTTTGGTTGTCCAATATCAGAAAAATCTCTTTCTCTGGTAGGCTTCTCTCAGGGTCCCCCTACTACACTCGACTTCCCATGTGCCGTGTCAGTGTGGAGTAGCTGTTCCGTACAAACAGTCACATGTGGGAGTAAGACCCCTACCCTCTTCTGCAGCCACAACAAAGGGAATTACCCTGTGGAATAGGAATTAATTCCTGGTTACATTCAGAAAGAATTCAAGAACAATATCTTAAATATCCCACTGTTGTATTTAATGTATTTTATGTTCCTTCTCATTAAAAGTCCTTTTTTTGTTATTTCTAATTTCAGAGATCAGATGTGTATTCCCAGAAATTCAAGGTGTTAAGAAAGCCATAAAAGAAAATACTTATCGCTCTGGGACTAACATCACTCTTGAATGCGACGATGGTTACACCTTGGAAGGCATCAGTCAGATTCAGTGCCAAGAGGACTTCAGCTGGGACCCTCCTGTACCAGCCTGTAAACTGAGTGAGTGCAATGGAAATGAGGCAAAGACCAAACAGAAACCTGCAGATGCATTTTAAACATGCAAATGCCTTTCTGTATGGGGAAAAAAGCGTATATAATATGCTTTTTAAGAAAGCCTGTGTTGTTGGCCTTAGCAGTAAAAGCTTTGTGTGATTAACTACAGCCGAGAAACACCGTATTTTGTTAGTTTGCTGATTTTTCTTTTTCTCTTCCCTTCAGCATCACAAAAGACCAGTTCAGTAGGCCTAGGTAAGCAGCTTAGCAACGTTTTTTGTGGCCAGACCTTTAGCTTAGTGGCCTCGGTTGCACCATTTCCCTCTGCCCATTTTGTCTTCCATGCTGATATGCTTTAAAACATGCAGTGGAAGTAACACGCACTCTTCTCTCTCAGGAGTCGCAGCTGCAGGAGTTCTGCTTCTCCTGGGGGCAGGCATTGCCTGGAAAATTATTTCTAAGCAGAAGGAAGGGTAAGGCAGTTTCCAGATGTTTATTCATGTTCTTTGTTACCAAGTCTCAAGTTTTACATACTTGAAATATTTGCCCGAGTGTACCCAGGTCTTGTAATTTTGTATGTTCAGCTCATGCCTGTGAACTGTACAAGGCACAGCAACCTGGAATTCATGGTGTGGTTATGTTGTTTTATTTCAAGACTCTCTTCCTTAGAGGAAACCAACCTGAGTGTTCTTCTACAAACCAACACAGTTCACTGTTTTCTTCTTTTTCACTTAGCTACTATAATACGTATGAAAACTATTCTTACCAAACCCCTCTGAACCAGATCACTGAACAGAAATGTTCATGTCTTCCATAGAAGGTATGGCTATATATTCCTCTACATAAAATACCGGTTATAGGCGCAAACTTGAGTTGTTCCAATACAGTCATTCAAGTAGAAAACTCTTACGCCTCTGGGAAGATTTTGCTGATGAAATGAAAGACATTCTTCTAAACAAAATGGGTTTTTTAAACATACTGGTTTTCTTTTTGGCATCATACAGGCACATCTGACACATTTCATACACCTCCACCAAACATACAGAGAACTGAGTCCAGATAATGTTCTAGACACCACGCTCAATGTGTGTGTTTCCTTTTGCATAATCTGAATAAATGACAACCATGGCATCAGACTTGCAGGCTGTGCCTTGCTTCTGCCATAAACTTACTTTCGTTTTGTAAGGATTATGGAAGAGCTTGCTCTCTAACAAACTACCTTAACAGCACTAGCACAAGAAAAGGATGCTGAACTGGGCCTTTTGGGTTTTTGCTTGCTTTTACACTACTGCAAGGCCATTTTTTTCTTACAGGTGAATCTACTTTCTTTGCTGAATCTATTGCAGATAACAATTTTCACTGTTAGCAGGACTCTGAACATAATCAGCTTTGACTACAAAGCGGCACCCAGAAACACCCATTCTTTTTAAATCTGGTTTTAGATAACTCCCCCTTTGAAACAATGCACTTCCCAGAAATTCTCTTCTCCCTTCCTGAGTTACTAGACATCCGTGTGAAAACCGGAAAAGTCTAATTTTAACACCCTGATGTCATTTTTTCCCTAGGCTGGGCATCCTTGCTGCCGCCTGACAGGCATTTGACCTGTTCTCCCTACAGGGAGCAGCTGCAGGTTGCATGGAAGCGTTGCTCACGCTGAGACTGAAATTCTGTGGCGGAAAAGGGACTTTACTGTAGAACCAACATAGATGCTCCTTCTGCTCAGGTCAATTACTGAAAGAATCTAACAAAACCTCAAACTGCACGCGGTACAGCTGCTGTTTCAGAGGGAATTCTCTACTGCTGCCGGCTGACGAAGAGCATTTCCCTCCTCCATCTGCAAACGCTGTGAGAAGCAAGATTCACAAAAGCCTTGCCCGTGCCTGTGTGGAAGTCACACTTTCTCAGACCAAAGATTCCCTTAATCGCAACTGTATTCGCGTCAGCAGCGGCCGTGGATGCTGCTGTTTACTTCCTGGAATGCTCATTTGCAGTGTTCCTCTACAAATGCTTAACTTAATAAAAGCTGAATATGGGGCAATAAGTGTTTTGCCTCTCCTTTTGTGTCCAGCTAGAGTTCTGTCTTTGTATTTATTCTTCTGATACTGCCCTGCTCGCCAACACACAGAGTTTGTTTTCCAGGGAGAAGCAGCCCTGCTCCCCCCCCCCCCGCCATAACGCTTCTCCTCTTTGCCGAAGTCATGGGCGCCTCTGCCCAAGAAAGGGTTTGGTCTCCTCAGGGGAGAGGCAGGCAGTGGCTCACAAGGGTAGACGCGGGGAGAGAAAGCGGTAACGGCCCCGCTGCCGCCATCAACCCCCCCCCCGCCATAACGCTTCTCCTCTTTGCCGAAGTCATGGGCGCCTCTGCCCAAGAAAGGGTTTGGTCTCCTCAGGGGAGAGGCAGGCAGTGGCTCACAAGGGTAGACGCGGGGAGAGAAAGCGGTAACGGCCCCGCTGCCGCCATCAACC